AAAAAAAAAAAAAAAAAAAAAACTAAGGCAATTTTTAAATGACAAAACACTGACATTTAAAGGTAAAATATCCAATAAATTCAAAAACCATAACTATGTAACATTCTTTAGGGTTTTTTTTTTTTAATGAAAAGATACTTCCATTCTTCATTAGTAAGTATAAATTTAAAAGCCAATACTAGTTAACTTATTATAAGATCTACTTAATAATAAACCTGTCAATTTTCAATAAAATGAAAATATTGTAGATAAGTTTACAAATAAATAAAAAGGTCTGGTGCCTTTCTTGATCTTATTTCAAAACACTGAATTAGAAAGGCATACTTGCAAGGTTTTACATGACCTTCACTGTTGCTTTTCCAATGTTTGTATTACTTTAATAGTGTCATAACTTTTCTTGAGGAAATCAGTATATATAGCTTTTAGACTATGTGCTCTTCATATATAGTATCACACTGTTTTCACAAATAAGAATCTAAGGCCTGTAGAACTTGCAGGCACACAATCTGTCAACAACGTAGGTGAAACAGAAACTCAGGGTTTGTATCATTTCAGAGCCCATGCTTAGCGCTCTAAAACAGAACTTGTATCTTCCAATTCCTAGCTGAGGGTTCTTTCTACTATATCATGTAGTTTTTTTAAATTGTAAAAATATTCCTTTTAACTGAATGACCAATATTTTAAAAGACAATAATATTCTTGAGCTCTTTCCAAGTTTCACAATTGGGAAGGAACTGGCATGAATAATCTTGACTAACAGAGGACTATACAACTAAATATTGCTAATAGTTTGCTACCCATTAATCCACAATAAAATAAGCATCTCTTTAAGTGCTTAAAATAGCCATTAATAGAATATTAAGTTAACACTCACCTGCAAAGTATCTGCAAAAATTACAATGAGATTCTTCAGCTCTAAAACAAGATCAGGGTCAATGCAATAAGACTGAGGGAATATAGGATAGGTAGGTGTGGGGGTGGAAAAACAAAACAAAAATATGAGTCACTTAGTTAAAAACTAAGATCCTAAAGTATTTTCTTTTAATCTATCAGACACACAATAAAATTAAAATCTCATTAGACAGGTACACTATTGCTCTATTAGAGTAAGTTTTCAGGCAAAGATCAAAACAGTGTATCAAAATGGAACTATATTATATGAAAAATATCTTCCTGAAATACACACACACACACACACACACACACACACACACAAATGATGCTTGAATTTATGAAAGACTTTAGATTTTAAGGACCTTATTATTTTAAATTGAAACAATGGTTTTCATATAGACCATATATTTTTATTTTATATTAACTGATTCCCTATCTTTCAGAAGTGCCACACATATTACTTTTTCTACCTACAAATGACAATTTAAATACTTCTTAGTAATCAACTAAAGAAAATCACTAAAGTCAAAGAGGTAGTTAAGTATAGTGTCCCTTTAACAGCATTTGGTAACAATTTAATTTAATTTAGAATATGATACATTACATTAAATATTATGACTATCTAATGTCACAAAATGAACAGATAAAATATACAATTTTATACACTTAGAGCGGATATGACTACAAACTATGATAAAATGTATTATTCTTGAGCTTGAGAGAAACCTCAGCATTTGCCTATAATACGTGAAGCCCTGGAACCAATTTGGGCACCAAAAAAAGGATGTTTTTAAGTTAATATGTTAGAAATAGCTGTAATTTATTAGTTCATTTAGAATCTAAATTCTTGATTTAAAAAAACATTTATGATGTAATTGTCATAAACTACCAATCTTCTCTCAACGTATTTCATTTCATTCCAAAATTCTTGATTTAAAAAAGCATTTATGATTTAATTGTCATAAACTACCAATCTTCTCTCAACATATTTCATTTCATTTCATTTTGCAGTGCCAGGGATTGAACTCAGGCACTTGCCAAGCAAGTGCTTATTCTAATGAGCTATCTCCCTGGGTCCTCTCAACATATTTTAAATTTCATCAATTAAAAAACATCATAATTGGGGCCAGGGAGATGGCTCAGTGGAATAAGCACTTCCCTGGCAAGCGCAGGGGCCTGAGTTCAATCCCCAGTTCCGAAAAAAAAAAAAAAAAATCATTAATTTGTAAAGAGAACATAATTGAAATATAGGGACATATATTAAAGGTCAACTTCTAAAATTTTCTTGAGAAAAAAGGTCTTTACTGACCAATTATTAATTCTAATAATCTTTATAAAACTAATATGTCTATTATTTCCACAAAAGACATTAGGGAAATATTTGATCATTTAACTTTCGGTAAAAACTTTTCTTATTACATAATGGTTCATCATTTCAAATGAATTCTAAATCAGAAAACTGAAAAATCTTAAATTCATTAACTGTAGTATTACTGAAAATCATAAACACTGAGGAACAAATTCTATTGAATATTAATGGTGAAGTTTACTTTGGAAACAAAGAATTTGGAATGATAATTAAAAAATCTTTCTTCATGGTCCTTTTCAGTGATCTAATAAAGAGGTTAGTTGAGACTAATTAGATCAGCTTAGCTCTTCATTTTCTGTAATGCTGGAATAAAAGTATCTTCAGAAGCCCCAACCAATTGCAAAACCCAGCTTTATATTACCAAATAAAAGCTTGATATTACTACTTGCAAATCTAAGCAATTACCAAAAACTGCTAAATGATGAAGGTTACAGTTTCCCTTTGACATTGTACAACCAAAGGTTCTCAAAGTAATTGAACTAAAATTTTAGTATCATAAATTATCTGACTTACTGAATGAGCTCTAAGGACAGCAATTATCTTTGAAAGGGCCATGTTCCAAAGTTCATCAGTGTATGCCCTGGTTACCAATCCTTGTGTCACATGTAAAATATGATCTTCCACCACAAAGAACCTAAAATAGTAATTACCAACATAACATGTAGTTTTTTAAAGTCGAATTAGAAATAAATTATTTCTGACATTGAGCATAATACAAAATTAGAAATTTATTTCCATAGATACATACCCTACAATTTGAGTGAAATATCTTCTGTAGCCATCAACTGTTTCATGCTTTAAATGAAAAATAAAAGTCAAATTTAAAGCAATAAATACCAGCAACATCAAAGTTCCAAATTACTAAAAATTCATTAGCAAATATTTGAGAGCCTACTCCAACCTGCATACATTGTTAGGTGCCAGAGATATACTTGCAAATAACAAAAAGTCCTTCCTTAACGGAATGTACACATGAAATGTACAATAAAAAGGTTAAAAAGTAAATGAGATTTCAGAACCCCCCTCCTCGGTATTCTAGTTGAAGCCACCATCATCTCACACTTGAGTTAATATGTCATCTTCTCATATAGTCTTCCCAGCCTCCAAACTTGCTCCCTATAGTCTACTCCCATATATAGTAACTCAGAATACTTTTCAAACAGTAATCAGAGTATTATATCCTCTGCCAAAAACCTTTTAGTGCCTTTCCCTATGATACATACCAAAAGTCAAACTCCTTGAAAAGTCTAAAATTACCTACGGTTTATGATTTTAACAAAAGGCAAACAGTAAAACATTTAATCATGTTTCACATAAAGTTATATATTTCATAGTTACATTAAGTTCAAAAGGTATGTTTTTATGTTTTATAAATCTGAACAACTTTTAAGTATCTATGTTTTTTCCACTGGGGGGGTAGACTATTAGCATTTTTAACATAAAAGTACTACAATCAGAAAATGTAGTCTATATGATACCAAACATTTGAAATTTTCTAATACTTGCTTTATAACATATGATCAAAATTTTAACATTCTACGTATGCTTTAAAAGAGTATGTTTCTATAGCTGTTCAAGCAAGATTCTCACTATATAGTCTATTACATCCAGCCTCTTAAGCATTTTCTATATCCTTACTGACAGACTACTTGGTTAATATGACACTGGTACGAAAATGTCTCATTGATATGCTTGTGGATTTCCAATTCTTTTTTTTTCAAAATTTTACTGATAAACAGATAGCAATGAGACAGTTTCAAATCAAATCAGAAGTACAGATTCAACAAATAACACACTGCATATATTCTTCTTAGTGGTTAATTGCTGACAAGATGCGGACTTGAGATCCTATTTACAAACACCATTAGAACAAATCATTCTATTCATTAAGAGAATGCAACTATATATCTATCCTAACCACTTTGAATACACAGATACAAAATGGACATTTATCTGTATACCCCATTTTTTCTAAGTTCCGTTATTGAATAGTATAGGTGTGTGGATTTCCAATTCTGAAGTATGGTAATCTTGCTTCAAATATGTTGAATTCAAGCCAGGGATATAGCTCAGTGGCAAGTGCAAAGTCCTGAGTTCAATTCCCAGCACCAAAATAAATAAATAAATAAATAAATAAATAAATAAATGTAATGTTATTAAGTGCTCCTAGATTTAGAATTACCATTTTTATTTTAGCTTTTTCTATTATATGAAAGTGCATACTATGTTTCTATTCTTTTAATAGTTACTCTAAAGCTACTACACATCCTTAAATATATCCTTAAATAAGCAAACTCTAAAATAGTCAAGTTTTTATTATTCTTCTGTAAAACTCAAAGAGTTAGCTTCATTTCATTCCAATGTTTATTACGTGTGTATTTCAATTCTATCTGATGTTCAAATGCATACTATCATAATTTCCTACAATCAATATAGATCTATTCACATATTTCTTTGCCATTGTACATACCTGAATTATCTTTGAATTTATTCAGTTACAATGATGCTTTTGAAATGTCTACATGTATCTGTATATTATTAATTCCTTTTTATTGCTGAGTAGTATTTCATTATATGAATGTACACTAATTTGCTTATTCATGAGGGTATACAATTTATCTAATTTTATTACACAGAAATTCATGAGAGTTTCTAATTTGGGGCAATTATTAATAAAGCTACTTATAAATATTCACATTAGGCCACTTTGTAAATTAATATTTTTATTTTTCACAAGAGCAGGATGATGAGACTATCCATCATTATAAACTACCAAAAATTTCCCAAAGTGGCAGTATAATTTTCATACTCATCAGAAGTGTAAGAGAGGTCTAGCTGCTCTGCACCCTCACTAGCAGTTGGTATTGTGTCTTTTAAGTAAATATGTTGAGATAATTCACTGAAGTTTTAACCTTGATGAAAAATTACAGAGTATCTTTTCATGTGCTTATTTAACATCCATACAGCTTTTATAAAATGTCAATTAATTTTTTGTCCATTTTAAAAACTGGTTTGTCTTTAATTGCCAAGCTACTCAGATTTTTATATATTCTGGGACTGAACACTTTATTAGAGATGAATTTTACAAGTATTTTCTCCAAGCTTTACCTCACCTCATTTTTTGCACAGCACCTTTTATAGAGAAGTTGTTTTACTGCTTATATTTGGAACCCTTAGAAAATGACTACTACTCAGAGGTGTCTTCCAGGCGTAGCTGGATTTTGAGTTTTGAGACAAGATTCTACCTCTTCAATTTACTGGGGATGAGAAGTTGCTGCCTAATTGACCCAGGCCCTGCTTCTTTGGCATTAGCCTATCTAGTATTTTTTAAGGCCAGTCTCAGTCTTGGTTATCAGGAAGAATTGATTATAACAACTATGCCACTTTTGCTAAAGTGGTACAATCAACAATAACAATAGCATCAAACACAACCTACAAAATGACAAACTGAGATGTCTATTAATTTGCCACTATTAACCGTATGAATTAGATTATGTGGTTATACAACAAAGTGTAAAATGAACCAAAAAACTGTATGCAGTAAGTAAGCCCTCACCATAGCAATTTTACCCTCGGGGAGGCGGGGAGCTACAGAAATAAGAGGGATTAGAAAGGAGGACGGAGAACAAAGGAAGATCATACAAATTTGGAAACAGGTAAAAAAGATGGGGTGGGGGGCAGCCAAATAGCTCAGTGGATTAAAGCACCTGCAAGCAGGTGCAGGGGCTGGGGGTTCGATCCCCAGGCCTGCCGTGCTGGCCCCACCCCTAGGGCAAGCTGAGATGGTGATTGAGACTGCACATGGTGGCATGTACTTGTAATCCCAGCTCTTGGGAGGCTGTAAACAGGTGGATCACTACAAGTCCAATCTAGTAGTGAGACCCTAAACACTCTGTAGACCTTTCCCCAAAATACAAAAAATTGAAAGACAGGCAGGGAAAGAGACAAGAAATTTAAAAAGAACAGAATAACAGAAAAACTAGAAACCATGTTCAAACATGTAAAAACAAGAACAAACAAAAATGAAAAAGAGAGAAAGAAAAACTAAGAAAAAAATATTCATTTCAAGGTATCTGCTGTCACTGATAGACAGTGTAGACAGAGAAAATCCATACTCAAGTTGATTAATCCCAGCAACCCAGTTGTAGCTTTACAGTGGGATAGTGATTAATCTCAGTGGGCCTGTACCTCTAATTCCACAGAAGCTTAGGCTGGTTTCTGGCCATAAGGCTGGAACCAGTCTATGAGCCTTCTGTTAAATTGAACTCGCTTCCCTAACTTCCTGCAGACTTGAACTCATCCCCTCAACTCCAACACTGGCAGCTGCTCAATGAAGTCAGCAGTTGCTCTGAGTGTCAAATTCAGCTGGTCCAAGACGACTCCTGGACAATCACCCTTTCCTGGGGGCATCTGAGCCTGAATAATTCACCAGCGCTTGCATTCCTCTGTGTCCACTGCTCTGTCCCATTGGTATGTTTCTGCATGGTGGTCCCTGGGGTGACCAGCAGTCACCATGCATCTGCAAGTTCAACCAGCCCCTTCCACACAGTGAGTCCGTCCAGTCTGAGAGAGAAAGCACCACCTGCCACTTCCTTCTTCATTGAAATCTCTCTCTTCCCTGTGGGCTTCAATTCTTCTTTCAGATGCTTCCTGGTTCCCAGCGATCCCCTCCCCCCCCTCCTTCCCTTCCTCCCCTCCCCCTTCCCCTCCTCCTCCTCAGGTTGTTCTATCCCAATGTCTAGACACCAACTCTCAGAGTTGGTCTCACTTTCTCTGCTATTTATCACTCTGCCATCTTCCCAGAAATCAACTGTAGAGAAGTTAATTTCACTAGTCATCTTTTTTATAGCTTATGGCTAAGATCATAAAGATCTTTGTTTTATTCCAAGTTTTACCATTTTAGCTCCTTAAGCTTATGATCCATTTCTTGAATTGCTAAAGTAATATTTTTTCCTTTTACATATAGATCATTTCATGTCTTATTATTAGAGTACTGATTTTGTAAGATTTCAAGTCTTTTATATTTGTTGATATTTGTTTCATGGCCCAGAATATGATCTGTCTTGGTGACTCTTCACGGGTACTTATAAAGCTATTTTTGGTGGAGTATTTAACAAATATCAATTAGATCAAAATAGTTGATAAATGTTTTACATTTTCTCTTTATCATTAGTGTTCTGTAATTTCTTTTCATGTTTCTGACAGGGTTTTTTTTTTTGTTTTTTTTTTTTTTTTT